TAGTAGTAGTAGTAGTAGTAGTAGTAATAGTCGTAGTAGTAGTAGTAGTAGTAATAATAGTAGTAGTAGTAGTAGTAGTAGTAGTGGTAGTAGTAGTAGTAGTAGTAGTAGTAATAGTTGTAGTAGTAGTAGTAGTAGTAGTAGCAGTAGTAGCAGTAGTAGCAGTAGTAGTAGTAGTAGTAGTAGTAGTAGTAGTAGTAGCAGTATTAGTAGTGGCAGTTGTAGTAGTAATAGTAGTAATAGTAGTAGTAGTAGTAGTAATAGTAGTAGTAGTAGTAGTAGTTGCAGTAGTTGTAGTAGTAATAGTAGTGGCAGTAGTACTAGTAGTAGTACTATTATGTTATAGAAAAATACTGCTTATCGAGGCTCAAGACGGCTCAAGAGGCCATCAATATCGCCCCAAGGGCACCCAAGAAGCCTCCAAGACTGCCCCAGGACGGCCCAAGAGGCCCCCAAGACGGCCCGAAGCGGGCCCAAAGACTGCCCAAGAGGCCTCTAAGACGCCCAAGATGGCCTCCAAGACGGCCAAGATAGCCCCAAGAGGGCCCAATATGGCCCCGAGGTGTCTCCAAGACGGCCCAAGATGTACACAAAACTGCCAAATATGGCCTCAAGATGGCCCAAGACCGCCCAAGACGCCCCCAAGAGGCCTCCAAGACAGCCCAAGAGAGCCTCCAAGAGCACCTCCAGGAAGGCCCACAGATGCCAAATTCATTGTTTTCCTTAGGTTTTTGAAGGATTTGGGGGTTTGCTCCTTTTCGGCTTTCCGACGGCTCAAGACGGCCCAAGAAGCCCTCAAGATCGCCCCAAGGGCGCCCAAGAAGCCTCCAAGACTGCCCCAGGACGGCCCAAGAGGCTCCCAAGACGGCCCCAAGAGAGCCCAAATACTGCCGAAGAGGCTCCAAGTCGTGCCAGAGAGGCCCTAAAGATATCTTCCGCCGGCGTCGGAGAAGCCAGAAGCCTTTTGGCGGTTCACCGAAATCGCGATTTCGGTGTTTTTGTTTCCCAGGTAGAGACACACCGCAATCGCGATTTGGGTGTTTCTCTCTGTCCAGGGAGAGAATCACCCAAATCGCGATTTCGGTGATTCCATCTACAAACAAAGAAACACCGAAATCGAGATTTCGGTTTCGTTGAATCGTGGATTAGGTGTGTTTCCCCAAAAGAGGCTCCAAGAGGCCCGAAAACGGCCCCCAAAAGGCCTCAAACGTGCTGCCAGGAGGCACCCGAGAGACCTACCACGAGCCCCCCAAGGGGTCGGCGGTGCGGCGTAAGCCCAAGACTATTCAAAATATGCGTAAACAGATTCATAAATACTCGAGACATCGTCCCCAGACTATGGTTTAAACTGTGTTTGAATACTCCTCCTGTGGAGGGACAGGCCCGACTTCATACTGATGCGGGGTCCCCTGAACAGCGCGAGCGTGCTTTGTGGTACACGGGTAACGCAGCGCATTAACAGCACTCGGCCTCGCGCAGGCACATCGAAGGGAACCTCCACTGGACACGCGCGGCAAGTGGCACGGCTGTAACCTTACAAGGAAGCACTGCGTGAAAAACAAATAACTCGCCAATGACAACAACCCCAACGCAGCCAAAACCGAAACACACAATACACAAAACGTACAGGACTTCCGTATGCGGTATCTTTTTGGCGCTGTCATTAGCGCACTGGACTGCGACAGTGTGGGAGGCAAAATCAGGACGCACCGGCTCAAGGAATGCACACCACTGCTATGCCAACTCTTCGCGAATGTGTTCAAGCCTGCCCAGGAAATGGCTGGCACCGTGCCGCAGGCACGGAGTGGAGTGTCCCCAGGTCCCTCCGAGTTCTCTGTGCTCCACAGTGTGAATGCTCGATGGGGCCGCGGGCCAGGACTCGCGCGCGCTCTCGGAGGTCGTCGACTCGTTCCAGACAGCCCAAACCGCATAGAAAACCGTATCTTTCCTTCCTGTGGTTTGCTGCACTGGCAATCGCTCGGACGTCCATTCCCTGTGTTGTTCGGTTTCGTGCGTGGTTCTGTTCGCAGGATGATCCAGTATGCTCCTTAGTAATCCCCGCCGAGAAAAAGTGCACACGTCCGAGCGATACCAAGTCCAACGGAACCTAAACTGACCACACGAGCCCTTCAGTGCCAAGGTGCCCCCCGAGTGCGCCAAGAGGCCCCCAGCAGTCCCCCTCAGAAGCACCAAGCAATCGTCACAAAGGTCTCGCAAGAGACTCCAAGAGCCATCTCGAGATCCGCCCTCATCCTCGCCACCCTCCACCTCCAGCTCCCCCGCCCTCGCCCTCCGATCTCGGAACAGAAGGTGTGCTCTCGCACAAGCAGAGCGAGCTGCGGGCTCACTTCATATATGGAATGCTAACTCCACTGGAGAACGCCACGAAGTCCCACCAACTAGCCCGCCGTGCGCACGTAGTGGCTTAGTTAAGGGATTATCTCGTCCACCCACGTCTGCCCCTGCGGGCAAGGGTCGCCCCTCAAGTGCAAGGCCCAAGATGGCATAACATGTGGCGCAGCATTGTCCAAGTTGGACCAAGGTGGCCTGCCGCATACCTTCGAGAGGTTATAGTGCCTCTCAGAGGCCGCGGAACCCACATAAGACGGTCCAAAGTGGCTACGGAGCTTCCCAAGCATTCCCCAACAAACGAACGTCACCAGACCAAACTTGTGTCATGGATGTTCATGTATCGCCTTGTCGCTTCAAATCGACTTGCGAGCCTTCCAGATGTTCCGACATAGCCCCAGTAGGGACTCCGAAAGCCCCTACGAGGGCCTCATGGACCTGCAATTAACAATGCCCCCCAAGGCGTACAAGCAAGCCTCCAAGAGGCAAATTGTCAAGCTCAAAGAAGGCGACACCAATCCCTATGAGCGCGGGTGGTTAAGATAGTAAGCTCGTCCGGCAGTTTTCTCCCCATTCGGGAGCCAGGCTTGCCTATGCCCATGTCAATACACAAACCCCTCTCCCACTCGTTCGGGCCCCAACTAGGGTGACTGCTAACACCCCCACCATTCCTACCAACAGTGATACAACATGCAGCTGTGCTTCAACATCCAGATCATGTTCGGGATCCCGCAATCAATGTGTATCGTTCGGATAGGGACGGCGGGGATGTCCAGATATTGCCCCGCGTGTGCAGGCGCACCCTCCGTGCCAAAGACAAATGCAAAGGGCACGGCGTGGAAAACGTTGGACCATGCGTGGGCGCTCCGCGACCCGTTTGCACTGCGTGGTGCGTGTGGGTCCACCATCCCTGTCAAACACGAATGCAGCAAGACGTGCTGGTGCATACACCACGCCCCGCCGTCACTTTGCAGCGGTTACATCATGACAACGGTGGTGGAAGGTCGACGTGTCTCCCGATGCCTGCTGTCACGCGTGCTGGCGCACACGACACAAGTGGCGCGGGCGGAGCACGCTTCACACCTGGCGAACGCGGAGCCCGCGGCGCATCTGGCGCACCAGATGAGCTTGGCACGCCTGCGTCACTGGGGCGCCTGGCGCACCTGGTGCGAGGGGCGCACCTGGCGCGCGCGGCGCACCTCGCGAGCGTCGCGCACCTGGCGGTCCATCCAGTGGCGATCCTTGCCAGTGCGGGGACTCGAGCGCCTCCTGCGAGCTGGGAGGGCGGGCGGGAGCGAGCAAGACGGCCGTCCTTCGGGGGGGCAGCTGGGCACCTCCCTCTGCCATGGGCCCATTCTGGCGCTGGATGGCTCCAGGAGGGCCCCGTCCTGCAACATGCCTCCAAGAAGCCAGAAGACCGCCACACGACGGTTAGAGGCGGCCTCAGAGTCTCACGGGGATGCTCCCCGCGAGGCCAACACCCCTCCAAACACCGTGGGTGCTTCAAAGCGTGGTATCTTCTCATTGCTCGCTTCCAGTGGGCGTACGCGGCCTCTCTGTATATATATATATATATATAAAAAAATACACCTACATAAACACACAAAAAACATGGCCCCAGTATCGCTCAAGAGAGCCCCGTGAAGGGCCCATGCAAGCTGGAACATGCCCCCCCGACAGGCCCACGAGAGCACGCTCATTCACGTCCAAGCACAACTGAATCTCACATCCGGTGGCTGCAACAGGAGGCGGGGCGCAGATTCGAACATCCCCCTCCTTGTTTCGCGCATATGGCGTCCACGACGACTGCAGCAGGGCAGGAAACAGCACCCCAGGAGTGCCCCCGCAGAGCCTCCAGGGTGGGGGCGGGAGGGCGCCGACACGGCCTCCGACGCGGCCCCGGTGGCGGCCGAGGATGGCCCCAAGCCACCCTCCAGGTATCCTTCAGTCGGGCCTGTCCCTCTACAGAGGGAATATCCAAAAATAGTCAAAACATAGTCTGGGGACTATTTTGGGTGTATTTCCGCGAGGGCATGTCAGACTGCCTCCTGTGTCGGCTCCATCCGATCCCGAGATCCCGGCTTACAGCTGCTCCCCCTTGTTCCACTGTATGGTCCTACACTTCAGCTGTCAACGAACTTCGCCGGGGATCGCGTACGTGCGTGCTGCTGGAGGCACGCGGAACGTCAACAATGAGAAGTAATGTTTGATCGATTGCCTCCAGGATAGCTCCAAGAGGCCAAGGGGGACCCGATGAGCCCCAAGAGGGCCTCAAAAACTTCCAGAGATTCCACGTCTGTCCAAGAGAGGCTACGAGAGGTTCACAATGTTGCCACTGCTGGGTGTCTGGCCTGTTCCAAGCTTCGGTGCCAGTTCCACACGACAGAGTCACCTGGGGGGGATTGCGATAGGCTGGCGTGGATACGTACGCGAAACGTCAATCAACAAAATGCACGCGATCATTTCACGAACTACCAGAGTTTCTACAATGTGCTCCCCCAACATACACATATGTCGACATGCGCACCTCCACCCACAACCAAACTTACCGTCGTGTGTATGTCGCACCTCACTAGTAACCACCGTTCACGCAATAACACTTGTACCTGAGAAATGGATCGCCGCCTTATGTACGTACATATTCATCCGCGCGTGCACATAACTACGAGTGCATACATATTGTCTACGCCCACTTTGACGAGAGTCTGTGTGTACGCCCCACTCTGAAGCCAGACGCTCACACCAACCAGGGCTGTGCCCGTGTCACTCGTAGTCCTGCTCTGCACGGAATTCTGCGAAACGGAACAGAACCACAGAAGCACTGCGACTGCACAGGCGGACCCACCCTGAGGCTGACCTGCAGTATAATACGCGCAGAGCACAGAAAGCGATTGAATGGAAGGATTCCGAGAAAGCCGTTCCTTTTCATGCAGAAAACGCTGCCATAAGAACAAACGCTTCCATCGGTACCAGCAAACGGACAGAAGTCTGTGACAAGACACTACGCGCTCAACACGTGCGCAGCAAGGAAGCTCAAATCAGTCTCTTCCTCATCATCCTCAAGGTCCTCGCTCGTCGCGAGCCCGTCACGAGAGCAGCCAACTCTGTCTGCGTATTTGCTGATGCGCGCCTGTACTGCCTCGGCACTCAGATGGCTGAGCGACTCAGCAAGCGCCTGGGCCTGGGAGCCTGCACTCATCTCACTGCCAGCGCTCATCTCGCTGCCCATCTTGCCGCTGGCGCTTATCTCGCTGCCCATCATGCCGCCCGCGCTCATCTCGCTGCTGGCGCTCAGCTCGGCCTGAGCGTTCACCTGCAAGCACAGCGTGTCACCCGGAACGCTGGAAATGCCAGCAATGTCGAGCGCACCAGATCGAGCACTCGCCCGCATGGCCGCGAGGCCCCCTATGGCGAGGGCGCGAGCGAACATCCTCGCCATGGCTCGCCGCTATACGGTCTCGATAATAGTAATGTAACGGCTAATATGTAGTCGCCAGTTCGATTGGCGCGAGGAGCTTGGTCCAAATTGAGCCTTGATCTCAAATGGCTATGGACTCAAACCGTCCTGGGAAGATAATTCGAAGGAACACCTGCGCACTGCACTCGTAAACATAAGCGCGGTCTAGCGCGCGGTGGAACCGAATTCCGCTTCATCACACAGTCCATGACTCTCCTCATTCCGCTCCTCCTGTTCCTCTTTCTCCCCATCCACCGCGCGTTCTCATTCCTCCTTCTCATCCACCCCTCCTCTCCTCATCAATACTTCTGAAGTCTGCTGCGTGTAGCTGGCTTCCGTCCCGCCGCCGAACGCTTCCCTTGATACACTCGAGCTGGGAGGCGCCGAGAAAAACAACTATGCAAGCTGTTTCGCAAACCCTTCCGTTGCTATCCCCCCCCATTCGTCCGCCCCGATGGACGAGCAACGGGCCCAGGGAGGCTGGAGGATCAAGGAAGTTGTTTCACCGTTCTCAGCCTCTCGAGTTGCCCGTCTCGGGGGCCCCGTGGCCATTGCCCCGGACATCCAAGAGAGATCGTCCAAGGGTGGGGGGGGCGCAAATCATTGCAGGCGGCATGTGCGCGGCCCAAGGGGGGGCTGGGGCAAATCCTCCTCCCTCCCTCTCGGCGCCCTCCGCTCTCTCTCTGTTCCCCCTCCTTTGCTCGCTCACTCCCCCCTTCCTTTTCCCTCCTCCCTCTATTTTGGGGAATGTGCCAACTACACGTGAGCGACGAAAGCAAGTGGATCTTACGCGAGATGGCACGGCGACCTTACGCCGCGACTTACGTGGGCCGCCCGCGCGGCACGCCACATTTGAGACGAGGGCACTCACGCGCGACCTTACGCGGGCAGCTTACGCGCCAACGTCGGCGCAGACGACCCCGCTGTTTGCGCCTTCCACGTAGCAGCTAAGAAAACACGTCAGGTTCGTGACGGGCCGACTTCGGTGTTGGTTCCTCACGCCGCGGGGATCGTTCAACCTTGAACGATCGGCTTTTTCCGAAACGTCCAAATCGTTCCACACCGAACGTTTCGAGGTCGCCCGCGGCGTTCCGTTGAACGACGCTGGCGAGGTCGCCACCGGTCGGCACGTCACGAGCCTACCGTACACCCTCAGAGAGGCTACGATCGAAGGCGAGGACGGCGGACATCGAGGGCTTGAGGGTACACGGCATAGGTGCTGTGCGACGGGCGGGCAGCGAAGAGCGAACAATCTCAAACTGGCCGTTTCGTATTAGCGCTATTCATACTGGTAAGGTTCTCACCATTACTAAGTAGTATTGTTATCATTGGTACTGGCATCATCATTATTACCAGTAGCATTAGTATTAGTAGTGTTAGTATGCCTAGTGTTGTTGTTGGTGTTGCTGCTCCTGGTGCTGTTGCTGTTGTTGATGTTGTATTCTCATTCCTAACTCATCATGAGTACGGATCCCCCTCTCCGATAACCATGGCACGTTTCAATTAGAGTGCTCCTTCCAGGGGTCGCAACCTGTTTTCTACAAGGGAAGGCCAGGTGCCACCAGACTGGGCCCCTGGACCCCGGTTTACAACGATAACGGCTCTTGCCCAACACTTCCTCACAGCGTATTCCCAGATCTCGGCGCGGCGGCCGCCGCGGCGCAAGCGCGAGCAAACTGCACGGCGCCCCCGCCCAAGAGCCGCGGGGGGGCCCGCCCCCGCGGGGCTCGGCGCGCGCGCGAAGCAAGCGCTAGGTCAGGCATGTCCTCCTACAGGCGGGTTTAGGAGGAAAAACAGAAAATACTAAAACCATGCCCAGAAATAGAGAAAAAGAGTCGAACAATCGCCTCCAGACTTTTTTGCTCAAAATTATGTTGGAGGAGTGCCTCCTGTAGAGGGACGTGCCCGACTTGAAGCAAGCGCGCGCGCGCTTTAAACAAGCGCGCCTCGTCCCCGCCGCCCTGCGGCGCCGCTGCACGCCGCGCGGCTGGGCGCCGCGCCGCCCAGGGCGGCGGCGGCCCGCCGAGCGGCCCGGCGAGGGTGGGGGGCCTCCGCAGCGCCCCAAGGCATCGTCATAGTCAGCAGCAGCAGCACCATCACCAGCATCGTCATCATTGTCATCACCATGATTGGCACCATCACCATCACCATCACCATCACCAGCACCAGCACCAGCACCATCACCATCACCATCACCATCACCATTACCATCACCATCACCATCACCATCACCATCATCATCATCATCATCAGCATCAGCATCATCATCAACATCAGCATCAGCATCAGCATCAGCATCAGCATCAGCATCGTCATAATCATCATCATCATCAGCATCATCATCATCATCCTCATCATCATTATCATCATCATCATAATCATCATCATCACCAGACTCATCATCATCATCACCACAATCATATCATCAGCAGCAGCAGCATCCGCATCATCATCCTCATAATCATCATCCTCAGCGGGAAGGGGAGGAAGGTCGGGGATCTACACTTGGCAGGGACCGACCGTCCACACAATCCTATAGGCCTGACACGAAGGATGCTCAGAACCCCAAGATGCTCGAATGACAAAATCAATGTTCTTAGAACATAAAAGCCGATGTGTTTCAAAACAAGACACGCTCAGCCGGAAATGCTCCAAACAACATGTCGTGCAGACCACAGGTTCTTCGAAATGTCCTTGGTGGGCCTGTCGGCTAAGCAAGGACGCTTCGCCACTGGTCGGCTAAGGTCGGACCCGAGCCAAAAGAACATCCCTCAAAAACAAGAGACCCTCCGCCGGCCAAAACGCACAGAACATCCGAGGGCACCCTCCCCAGTGTCAGTGCAGTTGTTTTCGCTCGGACCGCGCGGCGGTCGAAACTGCGGGTGCGTCCCAGGGCCCTAGGACTAGGGCCAAAACAGCGGCGGGCAGCGTGCATGCCACAAAACAAGACAAGCGTGTACAACATACACACATGGTGGCACGGGCGGCAGAGGGGCAGGGGAGTGCACTCTACACACTGGGTGAGTACAATGCTGCCCCGATGCCGCTCCCTCTGAAAGGGCAACGCTGCACGCAATTATAATGTATATCAGCCCACGGGCCGAAACACCTCAAGCAGATGCGGCCTGAGGCTCGAAATATAAATATGAATGTCTAGATTCACCAATCCAGACTGTCAACTCAAAAGGTATGCATGAAACACCTCAAGCAAGGTGCGGCCTGAGGCTCAAAATATAAATACAAGAATATGAATATCTGGATACACTACTCCAGACGATCAACTGAAAGATATGCGTACATCACCGTAGCCCTCACTAGGTCCATCAGCAGCTGCAATCAGGAACTCACGGGCTCGCAGGCCCTGGAACGGCGACCCGACGCTGGGCCTTCCGCTCCTTGGCTCGCTCACGCTGTCCGCGGCGCAGCCGCAGACGGTGTGCCTCCTCATCCTCTTGCTCAGCTGTAGGCACCATGCTGAACAGGCCGTGGCGGAGGAACTGCGATAGTACCTCGTTAGGCTGCACGGCTTTTGTCAGCACATCCGCTAGCATGTGGCTATTAGGCACCCACTTGAACTTGATGGCCTCCTGCTCTATCAAATCCTTGGCCACCAGCAAGTCAATGAGGGTCTGCCGAGACACCGGCATCGACCCGATCTTGGACGTGTGATCGTAGAGCGACTTCGCATCCGTCACGAGCGCCCCTGGAACCTTCAGCGCCAGCCTCCAGTCCCCTTGCAAGGGCGGCCCCCCGTACAAGATTGCCTCAATCAGCAGCCTGAGGTAAAGCTGCCGATCCAAAGCCGCGGACATAGCCGCAGACTCTGCGGCCATCGTAGATCCAACAACTCGTGTAATAGTACTGCTCTGAAACTCCACTAGACAACATACAGTTAGCTCCTTCAAAACTCGGGTGTCCGTAATCACACTCATAAGCCCCATCTGGCTCTTACAGCCGGGTTCCTTCGCAAACGAAGCGCCCATAAGCGTCAGCACCTGCAAGCGCTCGATGTCCACGCGGCGGATCCGGAGAGTCGCAAGACCTCTCTTGTCGTAGTCCTGAAGCCGGTCGATGATGTCATTGAGCACTCGCAGGTGCAACAACCTCCGACCTTTCGGATCTTTCTGTGCGAGCGCCGAGACACTATACGCGAGTTGTGGCACCACGCGTGCGACAGGCCACCGCACCTTCTGGAGCAAACTCCGGTAGTCGTGGTGCTCCTCGGGAGTCATCTCCCGCTCCTCGTTGTCACCCCTTGCAAGGGGGTGCTTCGTCAGCTTGCCGATGTACTCGTGCATGCTGATCTCGATGTGATCGGGGTGGCGCCACCACTCCTCACCGAGATAGGCGACTGCCTCCTTGTCGTTGCCCTTCTTCCATTGCTTGATGTTGAAACGACTGTTGATGTTCGCCTTCACCTCCTGGTACTGGGGATCGTGTGGGTCTCCAAACAGCATGCCGTCATCGACGTGCAAGGTCAACATAGCGATCAACTTGTCGTTCATTCGATAAACGAAGACAGCTCGAGCACAGCGCAGCTCCACGAAGCCGACCTCGTCCGTCAACACCTGGCGGGCTCGGAGATACCACAACCGAGGCGCCTCAGTCAGACCGCGCGCCCCTTTCAGCAAGCGAAGCAACGCATAAGGCCGCGCGGCTGGCCATCCAGCACCGTCGACGGCTGGAAGCCCCTCCTTAGGAGCCCTCACATACAGCTCCCGTTCCAGCTTCAGCCCGGACAGGAACGCAGTCGCTACGTCGAAACACTCGAATGTCCAATCCATCGCCATTGTGATAGACGCACACACCAGCACAGCCAAAGGGGAAGTAGTAGGCGAATCCGTCCTGAATAGACCAAGCTGCGGATCGAGATGGCCAGGGATGATCAAGCGAGACTTCGCCTCCAGCTCCGGCCCTCGCCCCCGGTTCGTGCGAACCGAACGCATGGGCACCGAGATGATCTTGTCCTTCGGGATGCTCTTCTCCACCTCCTCGGTGACCAGCTCGACCGTGTTGTTGGCGATCCATTGCCGCCACTCGGCGGCATCGGCCTCGTCGAACTTAGCCTTCTCGTGCTGGTTGAAGTGACGTGGGTCTAGCTCCTTCGCGTTCTGCTTCATCACGAGTGCGAACACGTCGTGCTCGTACCAAGCCTCCTGCAGCCATGCGTCATAC